AAAACATGTGCTATCTCACGCGAAGAGATTTCTCTCGTAAAAATAAGACTAATTTTTTATATAGACATAGGTCAGATTATGCTTTGTGTCGTAGCTACAGGGGATTCAAGTTTTCATTTTTTTTTCGATTATAATTTTCTTTCGAATGCTTATAGTGATTCGAATGAAATTTTGAGGTTACTACATATTTTAATGCTAAGGAAGTATCGACAGATTGACCAGGGACGTGCATAAGGGTTATCACTGGAATATTTTTCTAAAAAAGTGTGTGCGCCACTGACTTTTTTCCTGGTTAGTAAAATTGTGTAAACCGTTTAATGTCGATTAAAACTTGTATCTTGATATTTTGTCGATTCAGATCTCCATGATGAGTTAAACGCAATTTTATTAATCACAATTAATAAATTTAAAATAAAAATTACATTAATAAATTATTTATTTAGTCAATTTTGTTATTAAATTCTATTAAATTTTATAACATTTGATGTTCAGTGCTAGCTACAGCAAGCTAATAAAAAATAATGGTTTTTAAGATAATTTCAAAATATCTATTTTTTAAAAGTTTTAACATCCTGTAATCTACTTTAAAACTATGCATTTCCGCACACATGTTTATAGAAACTTTTTTTCATATTTTTTGATGCGGAATCAACGAATACTTAGCACTTTATTTAGACTTGGATTAAGGCAAATTAAAAATCTGAATGTTTTCTAACAGACGCATAGAATGATGAATATACGAGTGTAACTAGGTAATAAAGGGTAATACTAAAAAATAGTAGTGCATACTATTACTGACTGCATCAAACAATAGAATGGACACATTATTTAAATAGAAATATTATTGAATAATACCTTAGTCACATTTCTACTACATAATATCTGTGATAATACCATTGTTTTTATAAATGATAATATGTACATTTTAAAGATGCAAGTTTATGCAATCTATATATTTGAATCTTAGATTTTTGTTTCTATACGAGGGCTGGCTTCTCTTAGTTCAAAAAACTGACTTAAATATTTAATTCAAATTTCTTATAATAATATTTTTTTAATATGTTAATAGAAAATGTTCCTATTTCTTACAAACTTTTCAGCATTTCTTATACAAGTGTTTATTAAAATAATAAACATTTTTTAAATACTTTCACTTGATAATTGATATTATTTTCACCAATAACATTAGATGTCATTGATTTTCACACATTATTATTTCCTTGTGCAGTAATTGAATATTACAAAACTAAAAATCTACAGGGCGGCTAGATTTTTTCGTTACAACTTAAACAATCGATGGAAAAACTTAATTTAATGATAAATATAGTATTATATAGAGACGTTAGATAGTGTAAGGAATTAAGAAAGCATCCAAGGAATTATCAATGAACCAGGAAATAATTTTGCTAAGATAATAGCACAGCTTATTCAGTACCAGCTCACCATCTTCGAACATGATTAAATTGGGGCAAAGTTGCGCTTTGAGATGTGCACCAAGATGCCATCAAAAAAGTTTTAAAAATTTCAAGGATTGCTGAGTTTTTTGGAAAAAACGGATATTTTTGAAAATCAATTTTATTTTTCCTGTCGATACGTTTTAGAAAATCAAAAAATATTACGTATTTTACATTTTAACATTCTCATAGCCACTTTATTAGGGCTATCTGATAGTATTTTTAGATTTTCAAATCAGCTGATAATTTGTGAGATACGGAGGCCAACTTAATTTTTTTAAATACGGACCTGCATTTTTTATTTCAGATTGGGAAAAAACTCGCTCTCCTGAGTAGAATGATATGCCACACTTAATATTTTTTTTGTTTTCGAAATTTGGACACAATTTATTTAAACCAATTTCAAGTCCGGCTCTCAAGTCGTTTTATTTTAAATATCTAATATATTCATCGTTACAATATTGATAAGCTTTCAAACTTAACAGTGACGTGGGTTGAATACGGGAAATCAAATGCAATAAAATAATAAAAAATAACATAAATAAAATGTAATATAAACAATCAAATCATTTCCCCGGAAGATGGACTGGAAATGGTAGAGCAGTATAATGGCCAGCGAGGTAACTGGACGTCAAGTAATTCGACAGGTCCAAATTTAAAAAAAAAGTGAAATCAACACATCTCGGCAGGCACAATAAAGAGTAAAAAATACTTTCGAAAGTAGAAGATCTATTCAAAAGCTATAAATAAAATTGATCGAAAAATAAATTTGTGCAATAGGGAGGGTGGTAACCCTTTCGAACCTGTAGACTATGTAAAGCATTAGAAACTAGTTTGTAGAAGTTAATTTATTCATAATAACTACGATTATAATTATGCAAATTATTAGATCGTACACTGAGAATTTAAAATTCACAACAAGAAAAGTTAAAAATAATATCTTTAAATTGCTGATCTGGATATTACTTATTTGAATCTTTCAATTGGCTCAATTTTCCTTATTTAATGTTAATTAGCACTGATCAATATTGTTGCGATGAATGTAAACAGATTAAATAATTTAAAAAACAGAGTCGGACTGAATTTTTTTTTAAATAAAAATTAAATAGTTTTGTTTCTGTTAAGGTACCCAAAACAAAAAAAAAGTATAAAGTGTGGCATATCATTGTACTCAGGAGACTGAGTTCTTTCAAAATTTAAAATAAAAAATGCGGGCCCGTATTTAAAAAAATTAAGTTGTACTCTATATCTCAAAAATTATCAGCTAATTTGAAAATCTAAAAATACTATCAGATAGCCCTAATAAAATGGCTATGAGAATGTGCAATTAGTTTTTTGATTTTCTAAAAGGTAACGACAGGAAAAAATATAATTGATTTTCAAAAAAATCCGTTTTTTCCAAAAAACTCAGCAATCCTTGAAATTTGTAAAATTTTTTTTATGGCATCTTGGTGAACATCCCAAGGCGCAACTTTGCCCCAATGTAACAATCTTCGTATCTATTACGGTTTCTGAGATACCAATTCGGACCGTGTGACGGCAAGCTGGTTATAAATAAGCTGTGGCAATATTAAGGTTAACTATACAATATAAAGAAAATTTGTTATATAACTACAAATATGTCAAGCTGTTTCAATTTTTAGTGAATGAAACTTTATCTATGGATATTTTGTTCCCTTTAGATTGTTATATTATCATCTTACATTAAGTACCGTATGATCGAATAAAAACGGCGTCAGCGATGGCTATGAAATGAAGATCGCTGTCATTTTATATGTAAATTTATATAGGAAATGCCATCGATCGTCATTTCCAAGCCAACTGGACGCCGTTTTTATTCGATCATACGGTATTACCACGACCACGGCATATAAAACAATTGTTTTTTATGTCGTGGTATTACTATTCGACTGATAAGTTTATGCTATAATAAACTTAACCACCTGGTATATATAAAGATATTTTAATGGATTCACTGACTTTGGACAAAGTTTATAATCTTTGGACTTTGGAATCTTAATAAAACTACTCTCAAACCAGTTTTGGAACCCACCCTTCATTAGATAGAGACTGTATTGGGTTGATTTTCCAAAATAACAAAAAAAAACAGCCGAATTTATCTCTACTACGTGTTTTTGGAATCAATTTATTTTTTATAAAAGTACCCATCTGTTGTAATCAAATTTAAAATAAAATTAACACATTTTTTAAGATATATAAAAACCGATTTTCCTATTTGAATGAGATTTGGGATGCCTATATTTTCCTAAGCGCTTTAACACTTGGCTTTCCCAAAAAAAAAGAAAAGGTAAGAGAGAAGTGACATAAAATGTAGTAAATACTAAAGGAGCAAATATGGGGGTTGTTTGGGGGTACTGGGGGTAGTTTTCGCCTTCCACGTACCTTTTCTGTTTCTTTTTGTAAAAGTGAAAAGTTATGCTTAAAAAAGTGATAACTTAAGAAATGTGTCTATTTATTTCTTAATTTGATGGCCTCTTTTTCTCAAAATATCTAACCACTGTTTTGCAAAAGCAATGAAAGAGTTCATAAGTTCAGTTAACTTACATAGAAAATCTACTCTACCTTATTTTTTTTAGTTATAAAAAAACTGAACATATTCATTATGTAAAATTCATTTTAATGGTTTATTTTTTTTATTATGTAAAATTCATTTTAACGATTTGAAATAAAAAGAATAATATGGTTTATTGTTAATTAGTAATAAGCGGTTGTAAAATTATTCACATATCGAAAAAATAAACAAAATATACTATAAAATTAATTAATAATTCAAAATACGTATGTTTTATTATTCCAGATAAAAATGTGTATTAAATAATATCCTAATATGCAATAATTATATTAAATATTCAAAAGGAATAATTTTCCGAGTGCATATCATTATCATTTAAAAAAAAATTGTATAAAAATTAAAACTAAATTTTGAGTGGGTTTTATGGAAAAAAATGCTAATATATTTATCATTTTTTAAAAGAAAAAAAAATAATAAAAAATAATACACATTATATATTTCTTACTATTACATATTTAAATATACCTGAGCAATAATAATATTATTATACAGTATGTCCCCGGATTGTCTTTACAAGAGGAACTTTTTTTTATTATTGACATTTGACATTTTGAGAGAAATGAATTGGCGTTTCTATGGTAACATAATTTCGAATTTATCTTTTGATCTAAATTATTATTGATAGAATTTTAATAAACGTCATATTTTTGGCTGTTTTAAAATGTTAAAGCACCAAATTTATTTAGGTCAATGCTACGGAAAGGGTGATATTAGTTATCGGAGAATGTGATCGGAACAACTACAAAAATAAAAGTATAAACGGGATTAACCATTTTTGAATAACCGTTTTTGAAATAAAATTTTTTATGAAGAATGCATTGTTCTCAAAATCTCAATAATAAAAAAGTTTTCCCCTTGTAAAGACAATCCGGAGACAGACTGTATTAAATGATAGTAATAAATACTATCATAAAAATATTTTAGGTAAAATAAATTAAAGAAAAATTCCTTACCTTAACAAAAATATTTTTTCACAATAATATAGAGTTTATCTCACAAAAAAACACCCCGAAAATGTTTCTACTATATTTCGAATCCTACTCGTCTGTCTTTGACCACGACTACAAGAATAAGAAACTGTACCGAAATTAATTCAACAATTTGTAATTGTTTAATGTTTTCCGTCCATCCGCTGGGTGGGGAGGATTTCCTTAGCGGCACGCGCGTCGAGTTCGTAGCTGTAGAGTTTGCGATTGACGTGTGAACAACAACCGACAACCAGCTTAATAACCATTTAATAACTAAACAGTTTCCCTAAATTGTCTTTACAAAACAAAAACTTTTTTATTATCAATTAATTTAATTTTTTGCTTGTTCTCTAATGGTTAATCTCGTTTATACTTTTACAAATATCCATACCGTTTTAGAGAAAATAAAAAAAATATGAAAATGTATAGTAATACTAGCATGTACCAGCGACTTCGTTCGCGTCGAATTAATCATTTGTAATGGTGATGATACAAGTGAAAATAAAGCAAGAATTTCCATTAACATACAAACTGGATAAAATTTTCTCACATTTATTTATTTTTTTTTTTTATTTTTTTTTACATTATTTTTTTTTTTTGGTCATATTTTATGAAACACCCTGTATAAATTTATCAAAAATCTTGAAATATGTAAAACAACAAAATAAAACATTCTTTGAGAGATGGTTATTAAGCATGGGCGCCGAATGGGGAGGGGGCAAGAGGGGGCATGAGAAAAAAACAATATGGCGATATTATTATATAACTTGGTAATATTTGAGAGGTAGTTTCATCTCGTCGGAATTTGACTTTCGAAAAATCCGTTTGCCAAAAATAAGCTTTTTACGTCAAGCAGTTTAAGCAGAATCGTGGTTAAGAAATTACTCAACTTTTTCGAACACCTTGTATGATTTTTTAAAATATTTCAAAATATGTAAAAAAAAACAAATAAATTATGCTTGTCCAAGCGTTTTCCCGAAAGACTGTTTTTTAAATTACAAATATTGTAATATTTGATGGGCGTTTTCGCCCTCTTGGAATTTGAGATTCGAGAAACTCCTCCTTATCGAACCTCTACACCCCACAGTCAATCCGTTTGCCAAAAATCAGCTTTAAACGTCAAGCAGTTTAAGCAGAATCGTGATTACTCAATGGTCATATTTTATGAAACACCCTGTATAAATTTATCAAAAATCTTGAAATATGTAAAACAACAAAATAAAATATACGTGTTTAAGAGTTTTTCCGAAAAACTCACCGGTTTTTAAATAAAAAATATTTTAATATTTGAGGGATAGTTTCACCTCCTTAGAACTCGAGTTTCAAAAAATCCCTTCTTATCGAACATCTACACCCTAAAGTCAATCTATTTTCCAAAAATCAGCTTTTTACGTCAAGCGCTTTAAGCAGGATCGTGATTAATCAATGACCAGATTTTTCGAAACACCCTGTATACATTTTTAAAAAATCTTAAAAAAGGAAAAAAAACGAAATAAAATATACGTGTTTAAGCGTTTTTTCGGAAACTTGACCGTTTTTTAAATAAGAAATATTGTAATATTTGAGGGGTGGTTTCACCCTCTTGGAACTGGAATTTCGAAAAATCCCTTCTTATCGAACCTCTACACCCTAGAATCAACCTGTATGCCAAAATTGAGCTTCTTACGTTGAGTGGTTTGAGCAGGATCGTGATTAATCAGTATGTCAGTCACCTTAAGGATTTTATATATTAGTATATAGATAGTAATATAATTTAGATTTCATTCTTTGAGAGATGGTTATTAAGCATGGGTGCCGGACGGGGGGGCAAGAGGGGGCATTTGCCCCCCCCCCTGGATCACTGAAACAGTAAAAATAAAACCTATCTTCTTACATCCATCTGTAAAAAAATAATCATTATTATGAAATTTTTAGGTGTTACCTTTAAAATAATAAAAAAATGTGTTTCAATTTTTTATTCATTTTTACCTTGCCCCCCCCCCTCTAAATTTCATTCATCCGGCGCCCATGTTATTAAGTATTAATTTTATTTTGATTAAAGTCATATTCTTTGTTGTTGTTAAAGTATCCCATTTTCCGATTATTATCACTCTTTCCTTAGTATTGAACTTTTTGAATAAACAGATTAAGGAAAAAGAATAATGCTATAATGTACTCATGCAGGCTATAGACGGAGGTGGAGCTTTAGAGTGGGGATCCTTCATAGTTCTGTTTGACGCTTTGAATAAGAAGACTAAGGAAGGAGCATATCAGAAATCTTAGGTCCACCGCGATAGGACTCAAATATGGCCGACTTAAATTCCGGTTTATCAGTGCCCTTCTAATTTTATTTAAAAAATGTAAAACTATGATCTAGGGTAGACGTGGGGTAGACTCAATAATTTTTTTTTATTTTACGTTGTGAATAAATGTTGGTAGTTATTAAAATTGTTATAAAAACATATTATTATAATAAAAAAAATAGATAAGTTTTAATAATTATTTATTAACACAAACATCCGATACGCTACTGAAGCAGGTAAGTCAAACTGAAGTATCTAAATTCTTTGACATCTAATCTTTGACAAGTAGTAAATAAAAGCAAAAATGCAAGAAAAAATATATAATTAGTTAATTTAAGTGAATTTCATAAATGATCGGTTTACTACACGTATGTATATTATATAGTCACTTACTAGCTAAAAGTTGTTCCATTATTTCACTCGATTTTTGCCGAGATCTACCGCACGCTACACAACCAACTATTTTAGAGTCTTTTTCGATAAATCGCGATAGTGTCACTGTTAATTTAAGTTCTGCCACAATTTCCATCTAGATTTACTACCTTTACACAACTATCAGTAGTAGAATAAATAATAAATAACATAAAATAAGCTCCATAAAGACTAACAAATCCACAAAATTTCAAATCAAATTCAAATGTGTCTAATGAATCGTCAAACAGAACTGTCAAGGATCCCCACCTTAGAGTCCTTTTTCCGCCCACCATGCATGAATACATGGATAGCATTATGCTCCTTCCTTAGTCTTCTTATTCAAAGGTTTGACGATTCATATGACACATTTGAATTTGATTTGAAATTTTGTGGATTTGTCAGTCTTTACTGAGCCAGAGACTGAGCTTAGTTTATGTTATTTATTCTCATAGTTGTTTAGAGGTAGTAAATCTAGAAGGGAATTTAATCTAGAAGGGACTCTTTGTGGCAGAACTTAAATTAAGAGTAACATTATTGCGATTTATCGAAAAAGACTGTAAAATAGTTGGTTGTGTAGCGTGCGCTAAATCTCGGCCACAATTCGAGGGAAATAATGGAATAACTTTTCACTAGTAAGTGACTGCAAAATAAAACACTAAATCACCACAATACACCAAAACACTTTTACTTTTACACTGGACGCGCGTTTCGCTAATCATGTTAGCATCATCAACAGATGATTATAAACTATTTTATTTTAGAGTTTATAATCATCTGCTGATGATGCTAACATGGTTAGCGAAACGCGCGTCCAGTGTAAAAGTAAAAGTGTTTTGGTGTATTGTGGTGATTTAGTGTTTTATTTCACTGTGTAACACCAAAAGTTCCAACCCTCAACTGTAATAGTAAGTGACTATTGTGTAATACTGCATACGTGTAGTAAACCGATCATTTATGAAATTCATTTAAAATTAACCAATTATATACTTTTTCATGCATTTTTGCTTTTATTTACTACTTGTCAAAAATTAGATGTCAAACATATGTCAAAGAATTTAAATACGTCAATTTGACTTACCTGCTTCAGTAGCGTACCTATCGGATGTTATAATTAAATATTAATAAATAAATATTAGAACAAGATTAGAACTTATCTATTTTTATTAGAATTATATATTTTTATAACAATTTTAATAACTACCAACATTTATTCACAACGTAAAATAAAACAACAAATTATTGAGTCTACCCTACATCATATTTTTACACGTTTTGAATAAAATTAGAACGGCACTAATAAAACGGAATTTAAGTCGGCTATTTTTGGTCCTCATCGCGCTCGACCTAAGTTTTTTGAAATGTTCCTTCCTTAAACTTTTTTAATATCGTTGAAAAGCAATTTTATTAGTCTTTTGATTTTTAAATAATATACATAGGGTTGCTTAAAATAACAAGGATTTGAGAACAATTTTATAATAAAGAGAATTAAAAAAACTTCTTTCTCTCCCTGTGTAATATCCAATAGGTTGATTTACATAGATCGAATATATCCACTTTCGTTAACTTATAACCCAAACTTCAACTTTAAAAATGTTCAGTTCATGATTTTACCAATGCTTATTCAAGATCATGTTTTTGTGAAGTTTAAACATGATTTATTCTTTATTTCAAAAACTATTAGAGATAGGTGTAGATTAGTATAATAGGAAAATTATGAGATATGAAAGTAGTTTCGAAAAATGTAATAATATACTGGGTGTCCTATTTAAAATAAGTAAGATACTACCACTTTTCAAATGATGCGGTAACATTGTAACGCTGAAAATATTTTGGATAGATGGAGCAGGTGCATTTACGTAAAAATCCAAATTTTCAAAAAAATGCTATCTCCGATTCTCCATAAACGTCTAACGTACCATCGCCGTGAATCACCCTATATGCCACTACCCTTCCTAGATTCAATCTTAATTAGTGATGGGAAAAACCAATTAATTTCAATAATCGAGTACTCGAGTACCAAGCGATTGCAATAACCGAGTGATCACTCGAGCGAAATATCGCTCGTATTTAAAAATACGGTTTTTTGTCCGTCGCATGTTGTAAGTACTCGTTAACGCCAAGCGCCAAGCAGTAAGCTGCGTGCGCAGGGCACATATTCTTTCGGTAATGAACGGCAAGTAGTAAGCGGCGAGCGATGCGCTTGATCGCCTGATTTAGTTTATTTCGAAGCATTGTCGATGTAGGTCGTAAAATTTTGCTTCTCAGATACGCAACGGATAAATATACCGGGTGCGTCTCAAAAGTGGATCACCCCTATAACATTTTTATTTTTTCAGATAAAACAACGAGATTTGGTATGTTAGTATATGACATAAATTAGGATTGATTGACATTTTCAATTGTTTTCGGTCACTTCCG